AAACAATATAATATGTTAATATATGTAAAGATGAATTATTAATGTTCAAAACAATTAAAATTGACAAATACAAAAAATGAAGACTTGTTTATCACCCTAAACGAATGTTTTATCATTTGTTTAAAACGTTTTACAAAATAAATGCTATTTACAAAAAGTAAAAAAACACAAAAAAACACAACAAAAAACTTTTATTAATACATAATATGTATAAAAGACATATTATTTTAAAACTTTGTTGATGCTCTAATATTTGTTTTAATAATTGACTTTCAAGTTACTTTTTGTTGATATTGTTTTAAAAATCTTTGTTCAACACCAACAAAGTTAACAACACTTATATTAATTAAACTGTAATTAAACAAGTAACTTTGTTAATTAATAATTTGTATGTAACTGATAATTATTGAATTTAATCTATTTAAATTGATATGATGTTTATTAATCAACTTATCATAATATTAGTAAAAAAGTTGTTATATTTTTTTATTAGTTATGTAATAAAATTGTTATAGTATTAATAAAAATTGCCAAATTTGGTAGTGTCGAGCAAGTAATACAACAGTTGTCGGAGCTATATACAACAAGCGCTTCAGTTACACAAGATGCTCAAGTTGATCCTTTTTGTGAAAATGTTGAACATTTTAAATTTGAAAAAGTTATATAAAAAGCTTGAAGTTGGTTAAAATGAACACGGCCAGTAATAAAGTGATACACACATTTTTTTCATCTGTCTGTATGTTATAACGTTGTAATTGATAATTTATCATATCGTAAATTTTTGTTATAATTACTGTTTGCTTGTTATTATTAATATTTTTTGCTTCTGCTTACTCAACATTTACGTGTTTGTATTTAACAACACGTAAATTCAAATATTGTATTTAAATTTATGTGTTGTTCAATTAATCACAGCAATTGTAAAATAATGATAAAAAAGTTTATTTAAAACATTTTTAATGTATGAATGTTGAACATTTAAAACGAAAATGGATACTTCGACAAACTTGATGAGATTATTGCAAGAAAAAAATTATTACAACATCAGTCTACACAATTGTACTGGTTTGGAAAACACTTAAAATAATGACAATGACAAGTTGATTGAGATACATGACATCAGAATATCACATCTTGATGATAAATATAAATAGAAACACAACCAATTGAAAATTAAATCAATATAATTGTCCAAACAAATAATAACAAAGTTAAAAAATATTCAGATCAAAAAACAACAATTCTAAGAAAAAATATAAAAAATAAATAATGAAGCGAGAACACATCACACTTAAAGAGTAAAACAGTTTTTAAAAAGTCAACAGATATGAAGATTGTGAGTGTTGTGTTTGAATTGGGCGAAGACAATTTGTCACAATGTATTTCTATGTTTGATGCAAAAGAAATGAACAATTTGTGCTTTTTTGATAGAAGACACAAATCACAACAAGTTTGGTGGTATGTACTCGAGAAATATCAATACCATTGACCATTGGCTCGACAGTGGCAGTTCTTATACTTTTCGCTTGTGAAAAGTGGCACTTCAAATCCAAAGATATTGAGAAGTGTGGAAATTTTAACAATTATTATTTTTATCTATATTCTCAAAACAGTTCATATCTCTTTGGATTTAATAATGGTCGTTATATAGCAGTGTACAAGAAATGTACTGATGAAAACATTTGCAACCTATCCACTTACAATGTTAAACAAAAAGAGTTGATTGATAATTGCAATTTCACACAAAGAGTGTTGTTGTCTACAACTTATTTGCCTTATTTGTTGTTTTGTGTTTTGTGTGCATTTCAAACATTTGTAACATGTTAATTACAAAAGCGACAATATTGTATCTTTGCCAAACATTGTATCATCTCTTTGTACATTCCTTTGGGAATAAAATATAAAAAATCTTCATTCTATCTTGTGAATTCTATTTGTTAAATAGAAAATTACATACTCGAAGAAAAAACAAAGTCGTACTGTCCAATTCTTATTTTCTATTTCATTATAAATAAACAGTCAAAGGCGTCTATTTGTCGTGAATAAGTGAGTTTGGGAAGAGCATCTTTTGAACCAGGAAATACACAAAATTACACAGAACATGAAAACGCAAAAGGGGGCGAAAAAATAGTTGATGTAGACAACTACTCTGAGTCATGCAAACCAGCCCATTATAAGCTTTGTCAGTAGTAATTGAATTTTTAGTGAGTATCAAATAGAAAAAATAAGAAATCTATTTTTAGAAGTGGTGATGGTAATGCAAAATACATTAAATTCTAAATATACTTTTCTTTTTATATATAGATAAGAGTCGTAAATTAATCTTTATACTAATTATTTCCACTGTTCGTAGTTTGCTATTATGACAATTACATAATCATTGAGAATTAATGTTGTAGCTTTGGTATTTGTCTTGATGATCACATTTCAAGTTACTTTTTGGTTGTTTTTGGTTCAAAAATCTGTTTTTATTATTAACATTAATATTCACTTTTGTTCATACCAACCTTGCATCCAGTGTCGCCTTGTTTGCATGGCGTATTGTATGTGTTTCAGAAATAATAAATTCTCTTTACATTTATCTCATTTTTTGTTGTGCACATCTTTCAATTTGTTATTAAACTTATCACATTTTCTTTGTTAACAATAAAAATTACAAATCACATTTTAACACAGTTCATTGTTCTTCCTTCCAACATTTTTGGTGAAACACATTCTTGACAACCAGTCAAAATTATGAACACTTTGCATTTCTTGAACGATTTCTCAGCACTAGCTTTTATATGCGTTTCTCAACAATTGTTTTTCACACTTTTAATAACTTCATTTTTTAAAGCATCATTTAAAAAAAACGGTTGACTCGATTTTTTCGTTGAACATCTTGTTATTTTCAATACAAGAGGTACACACATTTTTCCTTTGCAAAATACGTTTCTGGACAATCTTTTTGTGAGTTTTGTCTGTTTGAAAATTGTCCGTTGTACAATTGGTGCATTCCTTGTTGATGATTTGAAGTTTCCATAGACAACAATTGTATTTTATGCAAAATTTGTTCCTTCATTAGCAAAATATATCGGTCGAGACAAACACATCAAATCCGTCTAACACATCAAACAATTGTATTCGTGCTTTTTTGTGGAAACCAAAAAGACATTCTATGGCTGCTACACATTTCAAATGTTTTCAAACGAATGTTTGTTTGTTGTCTAAAATGCATTTATTCCTATCAGTGTAACAGTGGCATTCTGCTTAAGACTTATCGAATTTGCTTGAAGTAGTAATTGAATTTTCGTTAAAATAACCATCAGAACACTTGCCAGAACACCCATTAAGGACTTAGGTTGAAAACTGATTTCCTTAAATTGTTAGAATTTATTAAAGTAACAAAATTTTAAATTGGAATTAACAGCTGGACAAACAGCCATCTCATATTCACAATAATTATTGTTGAACAGCAGTTGGTCTACTGCACAATCATTTTAGTTCACGCCTTTGGTGTTATAAAGTCGTTATTAACTTCCACCTTTTGTTCAATAGCTCTGACATCAACTAATTAAATTAGTGTTTTAAACTTACTTAAAATTGTAAACGTTTTTTCCTCTGTTTATTTCTCGATATACTGAAATTCAAAAGTTAAATTCATATTATAATTATAAATAAAAGAGTTTGTCTTCCCAATGTTTTGCAATAAAATAGACCAAATTTAATTAAGTGCTGTCGACTATTTAAATACCAGTTTATTGTTATATTGTTATACCCTTTGTTTAATTTTTGTTCTTTTTTTACTTTTATTTATTATTATTAATAATTAAAAAACTACAATTATTATATAGTAAAACGTCTTAATTGTTATATTTTTATTTGATTTCAAATATTATAAAAGATAAGGATATAATGAATAAAATTTTGAATTACTTAAGGAAACTACAATTGTACCTTAATTGAAAACAATTGAAAAATGTTATTTTAAATAGTATTTAATTCTACAAATCAAAAATTTCAATTTTAAAACTGTTTTTTAATTTTATATAAAAAAAATTTTATTATTAATTATTATTATCGAAAAAACCCAAATTGTAAAACAAAAATGTTGTATAAAAATATATAATAAATTTGTAATTATCAGATTGGTTTTTTGGGTTTAATTATAATTATTAAATAATAAAAATAATAGTTTGGCTATAGTTTAAGATAAAAAGAGGGTTTAGTGTTATGTATTTAAACCAAGTGATAAATGTGATAATCAAAGCATGGTTCCACAGGGTTTTACTTGTATTAATTCCCTTCTAAGACCGTGCAACAATGTATTTGTAGATGGACCTGGCTTGTGATCTTTATTGCATGTGGTATATTGGGGCAACTTGATGTGCTATCCATCTACAAATGTATAATTTATTAATCACTTCATAATAGACTTTTAAATACTATAAATAGTCAACTTGATAAATACTTTCCACGCTGAAATTGTGAATTTTCGAAAATTGTAACATTATTGTTAATTGTTATTTTTTGAATAATTAACTAAAAAATAATAATAACTATTCTAGACGTATTAAAATCATAATAAAAATATAATATTTTTTTATTTTTAAAATATTATTACTTTTAGCAGTTTTGTGAAATGCTATAATGAAAATAAATCAATTATGAACAAATATTAATTCAAACAAAATTCTATGATATTATCCAATCTACAGTGAAATAAGAAACGCTTCCGTCTTTTTAACCGTTTATATTTGGTTTTATAGATCTGAATTATAATAATATAATTAAAAGTATGGTAGTATTTACCACATATGCTGAATATGTCTGTGGAGACTTATTCTGTCAGTGGTGGTAATATGTATTATACTTTCTCTTTATCGTTATGATTTTGAATAAATATAACAAGAGAAAGTGGTTATATAGATGGAAGTGGTTTTTTCTCACTGTACAAATACGTACATAAAACTTAACATACCGTTTCAATTAAATTGAGTTTATTATTGTTATGAACCAAATCAAGCAATTTTTACTTCAATGAGATTATCAAAAACACTTTCCCATACCTTTTTTCTTCGTGGTTTAACAAACCAGTCATTTTTGTCATTAATTCCAGCAAACACCACTTTTGTTAACGATTCGACATCTTTAAACCCACACACATCAACAATACCATTTGTACCAAATGTCATCGTTTTTAAATTGAATTTTCCTTTCATCAAAAACAATTTACTTTTAGGAGGCGAATAAAACTTAATTTTAGCCTCTTCTATTCCCGTGTTAAATAATATAATTTGGCAGTTGCTTTCCATAAACAATTCAATGCTTTTTATCGGACACTGAATGTTCAATTTCTCAATTTTGCTCTGAGTTCGAGTGCCGATAAAATTAACAAGACTTTGGCTTTTGGAAACAACTTCAAAGACGATAAGCTTTGGTAAGACAATTTCAGTGTCTGGCACTCTGATTTCCGTGGCCACACTTTTCTTCAAAAGAATTCTCAAAACCTTTAAATTGTCGAAATTAGAAAAATCAAGAACTTCCAAAGTGTTATTATCAATAGTTATTTCGACATTAAATAAATTGTTTGAAGCGTCTGTTGTAATAATTTTGTTTCTTTTTAAACTTTTTATATCCAAAGTACTTTTGTTGCAATTTTTGATCACAGACACAGGCGGGGTGAACAGGGGAGTGTTTTCTGCGAAATAAGCGTTAATTTTACTTTTGAGTTCCAACTCGACATCGTAATCTAATGTATTTTCTCGATAACTATCTTCGTCACTCCACGTGTCACTATCTTCAAACTCTCCATCACATTCTTCTAAATAATGCACCTCACTAAATCTATTGTTTTTGTGAATGTTATCTATCTTTATATCACGACAATAGACATTAGAAAATCCAATAAAAGTGTCGGGGTTGGTGTTTGAAAACTCCAAGGCGAAAACTTCTTGTTCATATTTTCCCCTCTTCTTTAATATTAATTTTTTTAACACAGAAAATTTGAGAGAGGGTATTGTGTATGTGTCTGATATATACAAGACAATCTTCCGGACTTTAGGACAATGACTGTGGACATATTCAAAATTTACTGTATCAACCTTTATTGTTATGATTTTATCTAAATAAATTTGGTCGAACAAAGTTGGGTCGGTCAACATGTTTGACGTGTCAAACCACGAAATTTGGTTGAGTTGTTTTAATGTCAATGAATTGCAAATTAAGTTCAAATTTCCAGTTAAAGTGTTCAATCGTGGGAAAAATACAAAAAGAAAATTTATGTTGAGGTTTGTTGTGCGTGGGTTCACTTTAAGACAGAAAATAGAGTCTTGACATTTTTTGTTGATTAAACGAAAAGTGATTAATGTCGTTTCATCAACAATGTAGAACAATATATTCATTAGATAAATCATTTCCAAACGTGTTCTACCCATTGAACATTGAGTAAAATTAGATTATTAAATATTTGGTGAATAATCAAAATTGATTTATTCAAAATACAATTATAATATAGAAATGAACATCTTTCATTTTTTTTCGTCATTTTAACTAAATAGTTATAAAAATAATATAAAATAATATATTTTTAATAATCTTAACCGTTTTGTTTTAGTTGCGAATACCCGAAAATAATCCAGAAAAGAAAAAAAGACAGGCAAACCATAAATTTATAGTATATTATAGATTTTTGTTTTTTTATCTTTTTTTATATTTGCATTGAAAAAAAGTTATGGTAACTTGGCGGGTTGGTTAAACTATCATGTAATTAAAAAAACTTATAAAACATTTAAGTTGTAAATAACATTATTTTTTTAAAAAACAAAGATAAAATGACAAAACATAATTATTTATATTATATGATAAAATAAAGAAAAATAAAAAGATAAATTATTTTAAACACAAAATTGTTCTTAATTTTACTTTAAATTCCAACAATATACATATATCTTCATGTTAACATTATTATACTTTAAATCCTTACAATTATAATTTTTAAAATTCAAGAAAATTTGTCTAAAGTTGTTGCGATATTTGTTTGTTTTCAATTGATTTGTTATTATAAACTAGATTTCAAAAGTCAATAGTATCCGATTTTTATTGGTTTATTTTTAATGCAAAACATTGGAAAAACATCGGAATCTATTTATATTTCGATATCGACTTTTTTAAAAAACTAAGACCAACAAAAACAGAATATCTTAAACAAAAAGCAGTATAAATAAATATCAATTCAATTAAAAATTTGTTCATTTTTAATGCATTTTTTTGAATGCAAAGGCATTATAGTAGATGTCCAATTGAATAGCCTTTTTCTTGAAGACACAATTCAACCCTTCTTGGCATAGAACTCATCAAGTTGTTGATTGTATTCATTGGAATATCATTCCACTCATTTTTGAGAGCCTTAAATAATCTTCTTTTGTTTTGGAATACACTTTTCTTCTTTCTGATGCGTTTTTCCTAAAATTGACCACAAATTTTCGATTGGAGATAAATCGGGACTCGAAGCTGGCCAATCCATTGTTCTCACACCTTCTTCAAACAAGA